CTCCCTGTCCGTCACACTCGCCCGGGTTCAGCTGAACTGGTCAGGCCGTCTCTGAGCCGGGAGCACTCGGGCAGTCTGTCACGTCCGACCTAATCCGCGGGGAAGGGGCGTCGCGCCCTGGCCACGCGGCGGCTCCCGGTCCGTCACACTCGCCCGGGTTCAGCTGAACTGGTCAGGCCGTCTCTGAGCCGGGAGCACTCGGGCAGTCTGTCACGTCCGACCTAATCAGCGGTGGCAGGGAGGCGGTGGGCTCGCGGGGAGAGACACCAACGTCCTTGCGTCCAGCGGACTCCGGGCGTTAAAGTCGGAGTCCTGCGGCCTCAAGCCATGTGTACATACGGACAGATATGTGTCTGTGCATCTCGCGTGCTCTCAGCCTCCAGCGGCCAAATTGAGACACGGTATGCACCTTCATTAAGGTCTACATGCGTGTTAGCTAGGAACCGAGCCCGAGTAAGCGAGCAGGTCGGAGCACCCAGCTTGCCCAGAGGAAGGCTGGCTCAGCCTCCCCGCCCTTTTATGCTAATGTTTCCCTCTGATGTGCTCTCTGCGTGCAGCAAGAACTAATTCGCTTTCAAAAGCCATACATTATATAGCTGGAATGGCGAGCTAATGAAGATATAAATCTGAGTTATAAATAAAAGAAGAGCGGCCTGAGCCGCTGAGCAGCGGCGGGCTGACGCTCTTACTGGAGGCGGGGGGAGGCGCCCTGGCCCCGGCACGTCCTCGTGGGCTACCTGGGGAAGGGCTTGCACCTGCCGAGCCTCAGAGAGCGCGTGTCTCCCCTCGAGGGGCCAGGGCTCTTGTCCGCGGCTGCCCTCGCCAGCTCTGCCCACGCGCCCTTGTCTCCAGTTCCAGAGCTGGGGGGCGAGCGGCCCCTTACCGCTGACCGCGCTGTAATTGCATTTCAAGATGCCGGCAGGCGCTGCTGTGAGGGAGTCTCAGCCACGTGCAGCCACGTGCCAGCTCAGTCTCGCAGTGAAGGGTGATTTTTCCGAGTGGCCGTCGGCCCTTTGTCGAGGAATGCTGACCGCTTAAGGCAGGCTAGCGAGCTAGTTCTTCAACAGTATTTCATTTTCTTGCTTGCAGGGCTAACTTAAAAGAGTTTTTACAATGCCGCAGTGACTGAAGAAGCAGTCCGCTCCCATGTAACCATGAAAGAGGGCCAGACAGCTTTTTGCACCCTGCATTTTTACTATTATTTTCCAGTCTTTAGCACCATATCATAAGGAACCTTGAATACAACCAGGATCCTCTTTTGCATGTGACTGTAGCTGCATTTCAAGAATAGTTCGAACCCTTGTCGATGCATTTTTTGAAAAAGAAAAAAAAAAAAACGACTTTGTGTATGTGACTTAAAGCATGTAACCTTAAGATGTTGCATTCTAAACTGACAATAAAGACCTTTCCCAAATATGTTGGTGTTCTGAAGACTGTTTAATATGTTCTCCTAACTCATTCGGTCCAGAGTAAATCAACCCGTAAAGAAAGGGGGAGGGTGCACATCCCGCTCGTGCAGGGAGAAGCCAGGCCAAGGCAGGGTGGCAAGTTTTTGCACGCATCGCTCTGAACCCAGCTTATTTTAACCTTGCAGGCGATAAAAGCGAAAATGGATGAACTTAGGCCTTTGATCCCTGTGTTGGAAGAGTACAAGGCCGATGCCAAATTGGTATTGCAGTTTAAAGAGGAGGTCCAGAATCTGACGTCAGTGCTTAACGAGCTGCAAGAGGAGATTGGCGCCTATGACTACGATGAACTTCAGAGCAGAGTGTCCAATCTTGAAGAAAGGCTGCGTGCATGCATGCAAAAACTAGGTAGGCCCAGCGCCCGCTCACACACAGGCCTAGCGGCGGTGCTGGGGCGGCGCCCCGCCTCGGGGCCCCTGCGCAGGGCCACCCTGAGCTGGCAGGAGGTAGCAGGTCTGCCCCAGGCGCCTGTCGGCACGCGAGGCCCCGCTCGCGGCGCAAAGGAACGGGACGCCGCCGACGCCACGCACGGCCTTAGCCGCGTGTGCGTCGTGCCGGGTGGGTCCGAAACAGGCTCAGGAGGGCGGGCGCCTCTCCGCTTCCGGGTGAGACGCGGCTGCCCGCCCCGAGGCTGCTCGGGCGTTGTTTGTATCGAGAAAGCGCAGCCGCCGCGCACAGCCTTGAGCACCCCGGGAGCTTCCCGCAGGACCCCGAGTGGGGCCCCTGGGGTTCTGACACGTGGGGAAGAGCTGCTCGCCTCGTCGCACATTCCTGCCCTCCCCAGCGAGTCCCAGCACGCACATGACACAGCTGAAGCCCCAGGTGTGGGCCGTGCGCCCCCGTCGATGCTGACCGGCCCCCTCGTTGACCGGCGTTTGTGCTGGACGCCGCTCGGCGCCCCAGGGTAATGCTGCTTGGTGGTGGCCTTCCCCCGGGGCTCTCTGATGCTCTAGCCTGGTCCCTGCTGCCCCCTCCCCCACGTGGACGTGCTCCTTAGCGCCTTATTCCCAGTGACAGACACCCCCAAAGAACCAGAGTGCTGACAGGGAAGCGAGAGGATGTTTGCAAAGCGAGACGGGCCTCAGCGGCTCCGGCTGGGCGGCGTGACCGGCACTGAGGGTCCTCGCGGAGGCCTGACTTCTCAGTGCCCCGGGGGCGGACAGTGCTCTCCGGGAGTGGAAGGGCAAGTCCCTCTTCGCGTGGACGCGCTAGCCCTCGAGAGACTGTCCACGGTGGCTTTCATCGGTGCTGCCTGGCGCCCCTGCCCCGGTGTGTCGGGCTGGGTGGCCTTGGCGGGGTCTGGGCTGGCCGGTCCACCGGCTCTTCCCACCCACGTCCCCACCGCGTGGGGTGTGCAGCGGTGATGGCTGTGGGGCCGGGGGACAGTCACGGGGCAGTGGGGTTGGTTCCGTCGGGCATAGCCTTTGGGGTTCGACCCATAATTCCCCTGAGCACCCTTCTGCCAGACCCTGCCCACTCCCCCGGATGCCTCTCTGCTTCTGCAGACCCTAGGGTGGGGCCTGTCGGGGTCTTGCTCCCCACCAGCAGCTGCTCCCCTCCCTGGCACTCGGGGTGCTCATGCCAGAAACCAAACCATGCCCACCCTTTCAGAGGAGGGGCCAAGTGGCAAAGCGGAAATTCAGAGCAAAGGTTACAAGCGTCCGTTGCTACGGGCCTCACCAGGAGCGTCCGCTGGGGCCAGCGGGGCCTCGCGCCTGGCCTGCTTCAGGGGCCAGCGGCTGGGCCTCGCGCCTGGCCTGCTTCAGGGGCCAGCGGCTGGGCCTCGCGCCTGGCCTGCTTCAGGGGCGCCGGGGAGTTGCTGTGCTGCTCGAGCTTGGAGCCTCTGCACGGCGACCCTCGGGCCACTGAACACGGAGCCTGGGAGCAGAGAGAGCAGACACGTGGGCCCCCACGCCCGAGGGCGGCTTCATGCTCACTTGGGCCTTCTGCAGGCCGTCGCTGGTGGCCAGCCCCGCTGAGCCTGGTGACCGGGCCTGTGTGTCCCTGGGCCTGGGGGCAGGCTGGCTGTGGGGACGGAGGCCGGGGAAGACTTGCCCCCGTGAAACAGCAAGGACTGTGTGCTCCATGCACAGAGGGTGTGTGGGCCCGTGGGTGCGTGGACAGATGGATGGGTGATGGGTGGACGGATGGGTGGGTGGGCAGGCGGATGGATGGATGAGGATGGATGGACAGATGGGGGTGGGGGTGGACAGGTGGCCAGCTGGATGGACAGATGGGCGAGTGGATAGATGGATGGATGGACAGGTGAGTGGGCAGGTGGATAGGGATGGACGAGGATGGGTGGCCGGATGGGTGGGCGGTGGGCAGGCGGAGAGCTGGGCGGAGCAGGATGGACGGTGGCTGGGCAGCTAGGAGTGCTGACAGCTTAGGAAAGTAGCCGGGCACGCTGGGCTTCGCTCAGGCCCAGGCACGCGAGGACCCGGCGGGCGCCCGGTGCGGCCCCGTGCACGAGAGCTCGGCCCCGCTTGCTTCAAGGGCGTCCCGGCCGGCGGGGCCCAGGGCGGCCCCTGGGTCGGGTCGGCCTCACCGTGGGCTTCCGGGTCTGCTGTGCAGCGCCTCGGGCCCTGTGGGGTCGCAGCGAGCGCCCCCCGGGGCTCTCCTGGGGCCCAGTCCTGCATTCGGCGCCGCCCCCCGCCTCTAGAGCGGCAGGACAACGCGTTTTGCTCCCCTTTGAGGCCCCCTGGCCGGGGCTGCACGTTCTGCAGGAGCAGCGCAGACGTGCCCCGGGGGGTCTGCCTGGCGGGAGGCCGGGCTGGGGGCCCTGGGCCTCGGCCCTGTTG